GGGCTCTAATGCATGGCAGGCACTGGTGTTTACGACTTTAAACCTTCGCGTTTTGTTGACAGATAAATAGTTAATTAGGCGAAAATGACGACTGAGTTTTCAACTGTCTCCAGCTTCAGAATAGAGTTGCGTGGTTTATTCAAACGACTCTTTAGATTGAGTCAGATGGTCCTTTATAAACAACGTACTGATACATAGCCTTGAAATCTGAGATTTGTTTGGCGGTAAAAATTATATTGTGGGTTTCCAGGTTATCACTTCATGCAGCTTTGTACTAACAATTCCAAAAAGAACATACTGCATATATATTCTAGCCTCTATTTACATGCAATAGGTTTCTCCGAAATTCTTTCAAGACTACACACGTCATAACCCAGAACACTACAGTGTAACCAATGGGGTTCCTTGAAAAACAGGGAATTTTTGACGAGCCGATAAGTAATTTTTTCAAAAACCTTGTTGGATGGAGGTAAAGTGTGAGTGAAAATGATATAGTTTTGGGGCAACCTATAGCACCCTTGCAACTCGAGCCAGTAAATCACTATGCAATACAACGGCCATTATAACGCCATCGGCACCTGCGTGCTTCGCACAGCAGTAAAATATTAGGCGGTCCGCAAACAGCAATTGTCCCATCCCGTTTCATCGGTACTTACAAGCCTGACCACACGGCTCAAGTAACCGGAAACAGAGCCTACAAGCAGTATGTGATATTCTTCACTGCTGATACTGTCTTGCAAAACAGTCTAAATTGACAAAAGTTACCTACATAGATTGGAAGTTTTAAAGCCTGTAACTGGCACAACTCGAATGAAATGACGCCGAAGTTGGTCTACGTTACGAAATGCATCCATCATTTCTGACACAAGGATTCAGTACAGTTGGGTAAATACAAATGACACAAAACATTAATTTATATCGCAGTGACTAAACATCAAGACCATAATGTTTGAAGACATGAAATAATACTGGGACTGTTAAAACAATAAATGGCTGTAAATTTGCAAGGAATTCCGTTTTAAATTGTTTAAAATTATAGAAAGACTGAAGGATAAAATGACTGACTCCGTGGCGTGACGAACCTTGGTCGCCTCACATACTTTCTTACATTCTCCTCTGTCCATTCCTTCTGTCTTCCATCTGTTCACTCCCACCTCAATCATCTCGTCCCTGACGTCGTCCAACCTCTTTCCCCAGGTCTACCCTTCCTTATTCCGGGATTTCCTTTCAGTGTAATTTTGGTCCCATTTGACTTTTCATTCTATGTACGTGCCCCAGAGATCTTAATGCTGACTTCAGCATTGATTTAAGACGACGGGCATTCTGATATTCAACGTTATTAGAACCAGTCCTGCAAATTTATTCCAATACCTCCAATTCCAGAAAAAAAATTCGCGTTACAGTTGGTCTGTATTCCATGGACACCAGAATCGCTTATTCCGAGTCTAAAGACGGTTTACCCCCAGTCACGACCAAGGTCAGAAAATGCATAACCGCTTGCTTTCAACCCCTTAACAACGCATGGGAGTGCTATTCAGAATGATAGGCTTACAAACATCAGTATCGAGAGTGAGGACTTCGATCCTAAATAAAATAACATTAAATATACTATTTGAGATATTCTCCTGCTTTTAAGGGAAGGCGGGCTTTTTGTATCATTATGTCCGTGTGCCCCCTTCCTCAGCAACAACATTTGAATATGCTGACATATTTTCATAAGATTTTTTGCGGGAAAACCTGAAGGGAAAATACCGCTTGGAAGACCTAGGCATAGATGGGAAAATAATATTACATTTGATTGAAAAAATAGGGTGGGAGTGGAATTGATTCGTGAGGCTCAAGATAGGGTCCAGGGGTGGGGTCTTGCAAACACGACAATGAAACATAGCGCTCCGTAAAAGTCGAGCTTTTTTCTTTACTTAATGAAAGACTATTAGCTTCTCAAGAGATTTATTGTTCTCTGGGATGACTTGTTAGTTAGGTAGTTATTTTGTGGTTAACCACCCTTGCACTTTCTGATTTTCTAGTATCAGAAATGTTAAAGTGGATATAGTTTAAATTCTGCGGTGAGAAGTAACCATGTCTTCGAAAAATGTACACTTTTGTTTAGGTATATCTATAGAATTTAAAAAAACCCAGACAATGAGGTACCTGCTAGCAGATTTGTCTAGTCACCGAGCCGGTTAGTTCAGCGGTATAGCAAATAATTTTCAAGAAAGTGTAACTGAGTCTTGAGAAATATAATGGTTCCCATTGTATTTGCGAATTTACAAAGAGGAAACAACCCTACAGGTCTAAAATGCAGTTATTCCAATATCACCTACAGTCCCAAATTATCTTCAGTTTGTTGCGGAGCGGAAAACAAGAAATTACAGAACGTAATAGAAATTGATTTTAAAATTGTATCTACAAAGCATGTAACTGGAAGTTTAAAACTGTGTGTGAGCCAGCAAGCGTGGGACAAAAGGGAGTAAGAGATGAAAATACGGATCAGCGCAAAATAGCGCTAACCCTAACACCGTTAAATCTGAAGCGTCCGTATTTAAACAATTGACAGAACGAGGTAATATCATTGGACAGCTGCAAATTTTGGGAACGGTTGTTCTGCTATTAACCATTAATCTATAGTCTCTAATTTTATTTATAACCCACAATAGTAATTCATTTTCTGTTGTCGTGTTAATTTCACAAAATGAGAGATAGCTCCGTCTTCCTCTGATAGGTTCACATGATGTGTATTTTTTTTAGTTGCTGTCCTGTGGAAGGATAGTGCACAATAAAACAGTAAGACATGAAAACCTCGGAAAGCGGCAGTACACTAAGTGACAATACAAAACCCAACGGGTGAGGTATACGAAGTCCCCCCCTGAATGTTGCTTGCAAACTGAAGAACTGAGAACAAGGAGGTTGTACTTATAAAAAAGCTGTGCTATAGATGGAATATGAAAAGAGGGGCAGAATATTTAGAGGGGAGTTGAACTTGAAGCGTTGTGAAGTTGATTTCCCAGACACGAGGATGAAAGGCATCACTCTTGGAAGGCAGCTCACACCCAGGGGTCGGACGGGGTCTCGGTGAGCTACCATATGGGCTTCAGCCACTTTTCAGTCATTTTGACACTATGATGAACGACCGCGCAAATGGTGCGGATTTGTTCCTATACGAGGGGTAGCCGTGCTGGGGCTAACTGCAAGCAGAAGGGAAGGAAAGATGCAAGAGGGTGCCTGCCTGCCAGCTTAGTAAGGACAGGGAAGGTTTTTTGACTAGTGTGTATTGTAATGACTACAATCATTACACCTGATTACCATTCGCGTTCAATTGTAGCAAAACAGTGACAATGAGTGATAATCAGAATTAAAGAATTTACGGAAACACGTAACTTTCACTATTACAACGTAAAGATCTAGTGAATAGCATTCTTCCTTTGTGTTCAGGGAGTATTGGTTTCAAATCTTGACCCGGAGACCGTCTTCCGTGACTGATATTTGTCGTGGTCTATTGTGGTTTCCTGGATTGTGACGTCGTTTGGTCTTGAACGTGATTACTACCGTTCCAGAGGAATGTGCTGCCTCCATCTTTATAGCTGAAGTCTGTCGTGGTTCTTTTCAGTCTTTCCAAGCAAATTCCAGGCCAGAATTGTTAATATTATTGATTACCACCATGTTTCTACAACTTTTCAATTTAGTAATAACTAATTATATGAAGATTTCTGTCTTCTGGGTTATTGCGCTGTGTAGTCTGGTCGATGTTAACCAACGTTTCAGAGGTCATACTGCCTCCGTCATCAGGGAAGGGTGTGGCCTGCCCGGAGCCAATGGGAGCAGGTATGGGAGTGGACCAATGGTAGCACGTGGGCGAGGGTGGGAGAGCTAAAGGCTAAAGCCCTTTGCGACCACGACAGCCTACAGAGTGAACTGGAGGCACTCACCACCACCTTCAGGAAAAACGGATACAGCAACCGTCAGATTCAGAAAGCTCTCAATCCGCCTGCGAGGCTGCCACCGCCTACTGAAAAACCAGCCTCGGTTGCCTT